GTGACAAATTCCCAAGAGGAGGCTGTGTACTGTCTTGAACATGCCCTCATTTTCTTGAAGCAAAACCCAACCCATCTAGAATACTGCAAGCTTATGTACACTTACAGCTTGGTGAGTTTTTTGCGTGATTTTTGCAATTGTAATTGGACATGTATTGTAATTATTCAAAAATTTGCAAGTTAACCAGTAGAATTTTTTTTAGTTAGTCAATTAGGATGTTCCTCTCTAATTGTAATACTTTTTTTTTTTCATTTTGTCAATTGAAAAGTCGGAGCTGGATATATCTCTGAAGCAGATGGATGAGCGGATTCACATCAAGAGTGGGAAAAAATCGTCGCCCAACACCAAAAGGACAAAAACCAGGGAACATTTGGACTCTGTCAGCAGCACTAGTAGTTCAAACCTCTGATGGTAATCAAGTTGTGGTTTGATTCTTTTCATTCCTCATGTAAAGTTCTGCCTTGTTTTTGAAGATACTAAGTCAAAGTTGGAGGTAATGATTGCTGACAGTCTGTTGCAATTTAGTGTCTTTTATCTTGTACATTCCATTATTGAAAATCTTTTTCAAAAGACGGTAAACATGTGTGACTGAATGACAGTCAGCCATTGAAGTATTTACAGTATTTGCAGTATATTGTCAACATTGGAAATACTTTCAGAACCTTGTATATTTTCCTTATATGTGTGTATAAGAAATACTTCTTTTGGACAATCACTACTAAACAACGGATTCAGTTTTAGAAATACTTATTACCAGAGATATCTGCAAGCAAGGGGAAAATTATGAATGCAATATGTTTCATAAAGCAATGAATTATGTAGTTTTGTATGTAGTTTGAGGTGCAAAATCCTTCTTCAGTAATGCTACTTAGAGTTGCTCATTTTGAAAGTATTTAACCTAAAAATAAAACAAAATTGAATCCTGAGCCAAAGATGTCTTCCCTCAAATGGTTGTGTCATACAGATATTTAAATTTGCCATGTGACTGTGAGGTAATAAATGCCAGTTTTGAAAATATTAATTAAAGCCTCTAGTCCATATGTCTGGTTTTAACTTAACTTAAAAAATAATAATCTGGACTAAACCTATTGACTGTTATCAAGCTAATTTGATAGCGAAAAAATGTAAGAAAATTTGTTTAACATGTTATGTACTTTGATTAAAAGGAATTATTTTTCTGTTTATGAACACTGATAATATGAATGTTATTAGGAACAAGAGAAGTGTATTTATTGTAAATCACCTGGATTCCAGATAACAGTTGTTTTTTCTCACTTTTACTAATATTGACCATTGAGAAGTTATTGAGTGAATAATCAAGATTATATATAATGAACTTCTTGAAGGGTATTATAACCACCTGAACTCCAGATAATTGTATTATCGGGTAAATATTTGAAAGGAAATTTCATGCTGTTCTTCTGTTTACACTGTTGTACTTCAGATTCTTTGTTACAGATTTTAATTCAAATCAGTGTAGACACTGTCAACTTAAAGCTTTATCCATTCTATACTTCGATAGATTTTATTTTTCAAATAACATTTTTGTAAATTGAGCCATTTACATTATCCACTGCTGATATAGTAAGTTGTATTTTTTTGCTTTTGATAAAGAGGAGGTACACACATTAGTACATGGGGTTGTAGGTGTTACTTTTTTTTTTTTTTTTTTTTTTTTTTTTTTTTTTTTTTTTTTTTTTTTAAGAAAGAAAGAAAGAAATACTGTATGTGATACGGGATTGACATATCAAAAGAACTAATCTTTGCTTAATATTCAAGAGACTGCAGGTAAATTATGAAAATGTTAAACTGAAAGTTACTCATAATAGGTTTTAAATCAGTGACATATTATATAGAAGAAACAGGGTTAATGTAGATAAGACTGTAGCAAGTGAAGAAATGCTATGGTGTTGATGTCTTATCTGATGTTTAGCATAAATTAATGAACAGCAATTTATTTACATTTTAAAATTATTTTTAAAAAAGTATACTTCTTAGACATTCATTTTTGTTTTTTATTAATATTATAATTTCATATTTTTAAGGAAAATTTTCATGATCATAATTTATGAGTAATATTGTAGGTTCATTATTTCCAACTGTAAAGAGGAATATTAATAGAATGACAAACTTACTTAAAAGATAAGAAAGAGGATAACATAATGATGGTGCAATGACTTTGGGTGCATCTTACAGAGTCAGTTGTGATGCAATAAGATATTAGCATGTTTTGTGGTATAGAAACAATTGTTTGAAACCAAATAATATTTTTGTATTTATTTGTGATGTGTATTGGAATGAATTATATATATATTAGTTTATGTGTCTTTGTAGGAAAATAATAATTTTATACCATAATCTAGTACTAAGGCTTAACCCTCACACTTCACAAGTTGATACAAAAGAGGTGCTGTTGATGAACAAATTGTGTTGCTCTACCACAGATACGCACATTTATTTACTGAAGGATTACACTTGATGTGTTATTGTACATATAAAGAAAAATATTGTAAAGATTGTCAGTGAGTACAGCATAAACCAAACTGGTATTAGCTTGTGCATATTCACTGTTGTAATGACATTATTTAAAGATTATTGTATCATAACTAGGCATATGGTAGTACTGTAGAAGAGAGCAGCAGTTGTAGAAATAATGTAAGTTGGAGAAACTGCTCTTTATTTTATTTATTTAATCAACAGGCAATGAAGGCAAAACATGGGTTGGGACATTTCCCAACATGTTATGGACTAATGCGAATTGTAAATCAGAAAGTCTTTATTCTAAGGAAAACTTAACTTTTTTCTGTCTCTATCTCTCTTTTTTTATGTTTTGCTTTTGTGCAAGGGAACATGAACTCGCATGTAGACTAGTATTACTTACAAATGCTAAAGGTTCATGTGGTAGACCTCGCAACCATGAGAAGATAACATTGTAAGTAATTTCTGAGCCATAAATGTGAAGGATATTTTTTGAAATTGTGGTTTCCATTGCAAAATGAATAACAATTGCACAAAAATTATTTATGGCTCATATTTGTAAACTTGCAAATTTCTGCAGTCTTTGTACCTGTACATTCTGTCTTCAACCCTGGGACTATGTTACTGTAGGTTCTAGTGACATTATTATTGCAATTAATAACTGTGTCAGTTTGATGTTTCAATCTCCATGGAAAGTAATTCACAACATGTATAGATAGAAGATGTCCTAATTTTAGGTAACTTTTTGACCTTTACCTCTCAACCCCAACAGTGTATATATATACATATATATATATATATATATATACATATACATGTATTTTCCCCCTTTTTTATGTAATAATTCATATCAGTTTGCATGAGCTGATTCATGGGGATGATTGTTTACATATCTCTTGTGAAAAAGGAAAAACACAAGAAATGGTTGTGTACTTAAGTGTTTGTGAACAGAATTGGAAGTCCACATTTTCTTATTTTGAATATATCAAAACTTTGAAAGTTTAAATATTTATTACCTTTCAAAACTGGGCATGATTCACCATGATGAAGCTTAGTATTGAGAAGAGAATTTATTTCTCTTCCAGAATTTAACATTCAAATTTCTTTGAGTGAAAGGAATATCTTGGAAAGAATGAGTTTGTACCAGTCAGAATTGACTATGCACGTTTGCAATAGAACATGGATTTAGTCATGTTTGTAAATGCTTTTTTTCTGTAGTTATCAACATATGTTGATCACATGAAGAAGCAAAGCCTTATGGCACCTCACCGTCTTCTTAACGTGCCACTCTACCCATTGTATAAAGCTTGTATATGACATATTTAAGATGTTTTAAATCTTATCAGCATCTGATTTTTTGCTATTTTCTCAGAGACCTGATGATGGTGATGTAATTGTAATGAAGAAAATCTTGAGTTCTTCATGGTAGATTCTGTCATAGATTTAGATTTGTAATAGATTGTTGTAATACATGAAAGTTCAAGTTTCAGATTCAATTAGTTAGCAAAATCATTTAGGTAAAAAGTATGAATATACCATTTAAGAATTGTGAAATTTATCATATTGCCAAGATTTCATTGCTGTTTATTGCAAGATTGGTAAACATGTATTACAAATGCATTTATATAGTCAATAGGGAGGGTAATCTATTGACTTACTTGTGGAGCGATATTAATGTGTGCTGCTGTAAAGGCTTCCAATTTTCAGTTCAGCATTCTGTGATAAAGCAATTTAATTTCTGCTGTAATGTAGCGTTCCCATGAGACTTCAGTTTATTTTTCTTTTCTTTTTCTTTTGTACATAATGGCTTAGTAGAACAACATGGCCAAGTGTGGAATACTTGAAAATAATACTTTTTATTTACTTTATTTTTTATTATTTTTTTATTATCATTTTTTATATACTCTAGTTGCTATATTGGTGGACTGTGAAGATGCAGGTGAGTTTGGAAGCATCTTCATTTTTCTTTTCTTTTTTTTCCTCTTCTAATGTAATCCATGCATATCATTACTCTGTATTATTTTTTACTTTTGTTTCATTCTCTTAAGTCTGCATTTTAAGAGTAACAATGAACCTCCAGATAAGATTCCCCGTGTCTGTAAGCTCAATTTTACCATAGGATTTTTGTTATGGAAATAATATGTATGTATATATGTACTTTTTCAAGCTACATATATAATAGACATCCATTTTGAGTATATTGTCCTTAATTTTGCTCAAAATAGAGACAACTCTAATGCCATCATTTGTTATACTCATCAAGCTTTGAGCATTTACATCCCCTTATTTACAAGCACTTTGCTTGGTATTAAAGACAATACCTTCCTTTTTTATTTTTTTATTGCATGGTGTGTATAGCATTGAGCAGAAAAAAGTTTTCTAAAACTATTATGTTTTCATTACTTGTTCATTTTGGAGAATAGTAAAATAGGTATATTATGTCAGCCATTTCAACATGAAAGTCAAGTATGCAATTCGTATCTCTATTTTGACATCGTAAATATTTCTACCATATATTATTTTATAACATTTGTGAAATAAATGGACAAAATGCTTTTTAAGTATTGGTTTCTGACAGATATAGCAGATACCATAAGCATATGAATAAGATAAATAGTTGTGCATTTCAAGTCTGATCTGCTATCTGGAACTCTCCTGTGGAACACTGCCATACATGTTGTACTTTTGACACAACTGTGGCTTTTGTACAGAAGATGAATGAATAAAACACATTTTCATAATAATTTTCTGCCTTTAAATGTCATTCTGAGACCTGAAGTATTATATATATATGAGATAATATAACTAATTTTTACAACAAACCATATGTCATTTGTATTAATGTTTGGTATAATTCTTTTTAGACCAAGTATTCTAGTTTTATTGAAAATATGGGTGCTCTGCTAGAGTAAAATGTTATCCCAGTGAAAAGCATGGGTTTAGTAACAATATATATGTACTGTATAATAGATTAAAAGCCTCCCTAATCAGTGTTTATTGTGAAGAATGTAGAAAAAGGTATGAATAAGAGTGAATATCTTGAATATATTTGAGTGGTTTTAATATCTTCAAAAATACTTATTTATGACAAGACATACTTAATCTCATACAAACCCTTTTTTATGAAAGCTTCCTTATAGGAAAGATTTTTTCAACAATTAATCATCAAGTTGATATACATTATTGTAGACACACCCTGTCACAAGATATAACTGAATCATATTTTGTGTTACATCTTTACCAAAATGACCCCCCCCCCAATCCCTTGCACGTTGTTGTTGATGGCAGAACTTAGGAGATGGAGACTGAGATCCAATGCAGGGATCTCCCCTGCCTAGGGCCTCAGCCCTCGATTCAACAAAGTTTGCATGGCCTTTTCTCCCTACAGCTCTTTGTTTCTGTCCCTTCTCCAACCCCTTCTACTATCTACTTCCTAAGGTATAAGACCCGTGCTGAAAGGATGAAAGGCTGACCTTGTGCCAGTCCTGAATGGCCTGCGGGATTCATGGGCACGATACTCCTGATTTATTGCCTAGCTCTTACCCTCTCAGAGCATGGGAGTGGACCGTTTATGCTGCTTTATATAATCAAGGGTCCCCATAACCAGTAATGAAGATGTAATCCCCTTATTAGGGGCAATGAGGCTTGCCCCTTTATCAAATAGCCCCAAAGGCTCTCCTTTGACCATGACTCTGAACACAAACTACTACCCACTCCTCAATGCCTACTAGTGCATTACCCACCCAAGCAGAGACTCAATCTCCAGAAGACATTTCTACCCTCCTAACTTCCTCAAATTCATCAACTCTACCCTTACAACCTTCTCCATCTAATACCCCAACCTCCCTTATTACTACATTACAGCCTTATTCTCCATCTCTACGTAATACTACCCCCCTCAACAACACTCTAGCTTCCACCACCAACCCTACAAATATCTTAACTACTCTATTTCGCCCAGCTAAATGGGACCGATTTTTCGTGACCCCCCCCTACAGCTCCTTACCCAGGCAACACTCTTCTCTTTCAATTATGTCTCCAAGAACATGTAGGCAGAGTACCTTTGCGTACCCGATGGGATCACTCCCGTCTCGTAACATTCAGATCTGAAGCTGAAGTTATAGAATTATCAAAATTAACTGATCTCTCTGGCAACCCCATCCCTGCAGAACCTCATCCAACTCTTAATACTTGTACCGGAACGGTCTCTATCTCCTCAGCAAACTGCCCAGTTGATACCAAAGATTGGTCAGATTGTGGAGAAGACTTACTCGGCTGCCTCAAAGACCTAACCTAATCTAACCTAACCTAACCAGGACCTGATATCTACATTGCTACTCCATTCCTCCTAGAGGTCATCAGAAGAAACCCATCAACATTGCCAAAATTACTTTCAGTACACATGACCTTCCCATTCATATCTACATTGGTGGACAATCCCTCCCTGTTCAACCATACCAACATCCTCCCCGTCATTGTCAAAATTGCTGGCGATTTGGACACCCTGCCAAACACTGCCGCTCCACAGACCGATGTGCTAACTGCGGCAGCTCCCATAATGTATTTTGTAGAGGCTGTCCCACTTACAAGTTCGAGTCTGAGGTAGCAGCTCTCAGATACAAAAATGGTCTCACTCTACGTGAAGCCAGACAGGAAGCACGTCGACAAGGTTTCTCTTATACTCCATAATCTAGTGATGTGGCTCGCTCTTCCCCTCCCCCTCAACCTCAAGATGATTCTACACCCTCCCCTATACCTACTTACTTCCCCACTTCCACTTCTACATTCAACCTCCCCCAGTCAAATTCTTTTGCCACTCTAAATCCAGACACCCCAATCTCAACTACAGCTCTAATCTCAACTACAGCCCCAACACCATCCCCCCTCCCTTTCCGCACTACCTGCAGTAGACAGACTAAACGTTCCACCCCTTCTTCCCCTACCGCACACTCACCTGCACCTACCTTTTCCTTTACTCCAGTCTCCTCTTCCCTCCCTCATAAGGAAACCTTTGTCCCACAAAACTCTCCAGCAAACTCCACTGCAGAAACTATGGAAGACATTCAAAGCTATATGCTTGAGACACAACTTAACTCATGCTCCCTCCACACTTGAAGTGATTGCCGATATCCATACCCCTCCTACTCATATTCCCCCTACACCCCTTCCTACTACATCCCTCTACAATTAATTCGTCCTTTCTCCATCCGATAATCCATTCTCATAATCCTCTTGCCAGCACCCCCACCCCCCCTCCTAATCCCTCCCAAGACAACACATCCCCTTCAACTCCAACTATCCATCCTTCCAATATCCATCCTCCTACCACTAATATTCCCCCCCACACCACGTCCTCCTACCCCCTCCCAACACAACCCACCCCCTTCAACTCCAGCTATAAGCACATTCTCCCTCCATCCATCCCCTCTATCCTTTCCACTCCCTCCCGGATACACACGGGAATCACTCATGTCATAGCACCCCCTAGCTCCTTCCCCCAGATTCCCCAACACGTACCGACGCTTTCACTCATAAAATAACTAAGATATAGCTCTTCTCCATTGGAATATTCGCGGTTTCCGTTCCCACAGACCAGACCTACGTCATATCCTTGCTTCTTATAATCCATCTATTATCTACCTGTTCTTCCTCAGACGCATAAATATCCTTCACTTGATCTAATTCCCTTACCTAAACCACCATCACCCTTCCCCTCATCAACCCCTTACCCATCTTCAACCTTTCAACATTACTCTAGATAGTTGACGCATAGAAACTATAACCTGACATCACCCTTTACAACACCTTCCAATAGTGCTATATGACCTTAGATGTCTAACACATTTATTTCGCTTTTAACCATTAACCATTCGCATATTGGACTTATCCTAATCCTGCTCCTGCTCCCCTCATATCTTCTAAAGAAGTGTCAGCATCTTTTCCAGTATCTCATCCCTCTACCCTGAACCATCCTACCTCTACTTCCCCTTTCCCCCACCAAATTCCTTTTCCAGTCCAAATCCAGATACTCCAATCTCTACCACTGCTCTAATGCCTATCCCTCCTTCCCACTTTATCTGTCGCACCAAAAACCTATGTTCCACTCCATCGTCGCCTACCATATCCTCTCCTACACCCCCTCTTCCTCTACTCCTTTAACTTCTATCCCCTCTTCTCACAAGAGAATTTTTGTTTCTCAGGCCTTCCCACCTAACTCCCCTCCAGAAAGTCTTGAAGACATCCCAAAATCCCTAAACATGATTCATGAGAATGCTCCGCTCCCTCATCCACCCTACAATCCCTCTACATTAAACAAAACATTTGCTGATATCCATTCTCCTTCTGAAGTTCCATTTACCCCTCTTCCTCCCACTTTTTCACAACCCATCCCACCCTCCCCTTCCCCATGTGCACCATTCCCTCTTCGTTCCCCATTATCCTTACCGCTCCCAACTGCTCACGGGTCTCTCTTATGTCGCAACACTATCTTCCGGATCCTTTTCCTCTACTCCTGACAATCTTCCTTATACTTCATTTCCCTCCCCTGTTCCCTAATTCCTCAGATTCTTTCCCTATTTATCTAACATCCATTTTTACCCTTATTATCCAGTGATTGTTGCTAATGGTTCTGTTGCAGTTTCTATTATACAGTCCCTGCATTAATTTCGAGTTTTTCTGCACGTTGAACCTCGCCCTGACTCAAACCGCTCAGGGTGAGCGGTTTCCACCGTGCAATGCACCTATCAGGGATTATTGTAAATGAACTCCCCTTTCCATTGAGACGTCGAGAGAGATCAATTACTTTCCTGCCCGAGACTGGTAAGGGCTCGAAACCGATATACACGACCTTCATATCACACAGTAATGACTAACAAAAATAGAAAGGCAAAATGAAATGTATGTTGCAGTTCAGACAGATGTACTTTTGAGGCTCTAAGTAGGTGGCCAGTTTGGCTGTTTACAAACGGGCCGAGAGGCGCAGCTAACTACCTCCATCCCTCGCCCTATTCGCCACGCAACGCCCTATAAAAAGTCAATTGATTTTGCGAGTTATTTTTAGATTAGCACATGTTCATGTTTACATTTTGTACAATATCTAAGTCTTCAAGTTTCAATGGCTTTTCAGGTGTTTTTGACTTCACAAAGTCTTGTTGGCTTGTTATCCAATACATAAAAGTAGGTATATTTAATTCCTTCAAGCTGAGTAAAAATACAGGCCTTTGGCTTGACTCCCACTGCGAGAAATTCCACTTGAGAATCATGTATAAACATAATCACCCACTTTTCTCATCCACAGGTATATTTTGATGATTGTTCAATTAAAATGTTATCATTATAATAATTATTTCCCGTCCTTTTTGGAAATTGAAAAGACCAAAATGATTGAACATATTCACAAGGCATCGGGACGCCAAAGTGACGTCATGAAGATAAACAGACGCCATGACACCTCCTCGAGTTGCTACTGATCTAAACTTTCCCGTTGACTGACCCGTTCTTTTCTTGAACAGTTATTATTCAGAAAAATCTGGACCAACTACATGTTAAACGATTTTTTTCCTTTATAACATATTTCATGCATTGTCCATTTAGTTATCCATTGACATCATGCAATATATGACTATAAAATTCAAGATAAACATCACCAACCATAAGATGGATGGGTGGGGCAAGGAAGGCACAGTCATTAAATATGTAGTGTATAACTTTATTTCTAATACTGCTCATAAAGTACTTATTGAATATTTGAATGAAGAATGCTATACATATCAACCCTAGAATTAAAATAGAAATTCTAGCAACAGATCAGACTACACCCGTGAACAGGCTATTCGATACATCTCACTTTCAGGTACCCAAACTTGATACATTTAGCGCTCGCGTGTTAATGCTAGGGGTTAATGTTCATAATTTGGTTTTCATCAATCATGGATGAAATGTTACGGGAGACATTCAACTTCAGTCTCTTTACACCTTATGATTTTTTTTTCTTCAAAAACTGTTATCTATAGCACTTAATTGATTCAATATGTTATCATTCTGAAAAAGATTTTTTGGTAATTTTCTATATTACGTCCGCATAACCGATGTCGACGATTTTGGTATCGTTGGATTCCTCTCATCTATACAATACAAATATGTAGGTTTTATTGCGCGGTAACCCCCCGTTAGCGACAAACTTGGCCCCGATAGCGGGGGCGACGATGTCAAAGCAGCGGACGTAATACATAAAATTACCCTAATAATATAACCACAGTGAAAATTATCATGGTTATTCACACGATAACTGTAACCCCCCTGGGGGGGTCTGCCGTCCCCCAACCCCCGCCGAGGAAACAAAATATCCCCCACGTATTCACGGCAGAATAGAGCGCACACGAACTAGATGCATGAAAACGGCGTAAAACCCGCCGACCCGACGAGGGCAGGTCACCGCCGCTCTTCTGTTCATGGTATACCTTCTTCATCCTGATTATACAACAATCGTCTCTATATACAATGCTATGTTAAGGTTAGTATGCTGATTCAGTGGGAATGTTACGAGGTAAATGTAATACGTCCGCCGCTCCGAGATCGCCGATAACTGTAACGCTCTAGCCTGCCGGGAATACGTGGTGGAGGTTTTGTGTCCTCGGCGGGGGTTAGGGGGCGGCAGCCCCCCCCCAGGGGGTCGCAGGGGGCACAGCCCCCTGCAATGGAATGTTAAAAGAATAACCATGGTTATTTTCACAGTGCGTTATATTATTAGTGCTATTTAACCCCGCACTTTCCCTGGAACCTTTCATGCCCTCCCCTGCTATCGGGGCCAAGTTTGTCGCTAACGGGGGGGGGGGGGTTCCGCGCAATAAAAACTATATATTTGCAATGTGGAGAGTGAGAGGAATCCAACGATACCAAAATCGTCGATATCGGTTATGCGGACGTAATATAGAAAATTACCGATTTTTTAAAATCCAAGACAAACTTGCTTAGAAATCCAAATGACAGACTTGCTTATCAACTCTGACTTTTACAGGTCTTGTTTGAAAATATTGGGGAAAAATATTGCGGTAATCCATGCGAAAGTACACACATCATATCCAGGTGGACGTGGGGGATATTTTCGTAGTGAAATATGTATACAAAGACAATTGCAGCAGATTGGCCAGTTCCTTTCCATCCCGACTCTGACCAAAGTTATCACCTCCTTTGTAATTTAACCTGGAACTTCCAGAGTTAAATTCTTCGCGTCCTGGTTTTGCTGCCACACGTTAAAGGCTCATGACGTCATCGTCATCTGAACAAGAACAAGCTCGGCCCACTTGCGTCTGCGCATGCGTGAGTGTTTCTTCCCCAGGGCCCTTCACTGAGCGTTAGATCAGGTGCCAGTCAGAATAAATTATTTTTAATTAAGGCAAGAAAAAAATCGCTAAACAGGCAATAGTCACCGGTGCTTCTTGTACTCTTACAACTTTAATATCTCTTAGCAATAGTACTTCGAGGAAAAATCTATTTACAAGCTCAAAAAAAAAAAAAAAAAATGCAAATACCATGTAAATTTGCATTATTTCCAGTCGTAAACACTTTGTCCCGAAAAGAATCCGTTGGCTTCAGATTCGTGTATATAAAGCTTATTACTTTCATAAAAACAAAACGTTTTATATGTTGTATATACCATATAAAAAGGAGTTATATTTTTAGATGCGAGGTGCGATGAAGGCATATTTCTTATTATCAAGAGTGAAAATGCCTTGCATGTAATCACTTTATATATTTGAGTAATTGTATTGCTGTTGCTGCATGTTCATTGTAACAGACATTAAATGAATGCAGGCTGGGTAAAGTGAAAATATGCGGATAATAAATATAATGAAATATTAATGACTGAATAGAGAGAGAGAGAGGCAGAGAGAGATTGATAGATTAAGATAGATAGATAGATAGATAGAGGGAGATACAGAGATACACACACACATAGAGAGAGAAAGAGGCAGAGAGAGAGAGAGAGAGAGAGAGAGAGAGAGAGAGAGAGAGAGAGAGAGAGAGAGAGAGAGAGAGAGAGAGAGAGAGAGAGAGTCAAAACACTTAATTCCATTATTTGCAATGGTTCTTCTTTGTTCATATACATGAGAGTGTGCAGTAATACAAACTAAATGAAGATGATATCAAGTTCATTCATAGGGGAATTATAAAATAAGATCAAATAAATTGGCCTCATAATTAGAAATAAAGGTACATGGTTTGGCTTTTCATTTAATTATTAGATGCCATTGACAATTCAAAAGAAACTCAATCAATTTCCTTTTGAAAGTAATTAGATTGGAGTTGTTTTTATTTTTTTGTGGTTTCTTGCACTTGCAAATGCCGAACTTGGATGAAATTGCCCGGGCCATATATAGATAGATAGATATGTAGATAGACACACGCAAAATACATTTAGTCTATCACATGCAATAATATCCTCATTAACATCATTGTTATTGAATAATAATACACAATGGCGTGTGGAATCAAATTTGAACTTCCCATTTTCTTCGTTTCAAAACAAGCAGAGGTGTTCTGCATGCTCATCAACCAAGTGCAGTTGGTTATATATGACTCCGCCCCCATAAAAAGTGTAGTGCGACAGTTCTTGTTGGTGGAAAGGAAGGCTCGTCAGAAGAGTCATTCTTTTGCTATAATACGCAATCGCTTTCCATGAATAGATAATTCCATGATTGGATCACACGATTTGTTATGTATCACAATACTTACACTAAAAATGTATCGCGTTTTGTCGGTGGTGACTCACCACAGACCATTGCCGTTTATACGTAATCAAATACATTCAGTTAGTTCCAGTGTGCACATATTCATAATGCTTGCTTATAATTGTGAATGTTTTTTCCCAGATAGTAGACACAGTCACGCACACACACACACATGCATGCAAACACACACACACATGCATGCAAACACACACACACACGCGCGCGCGCGCGAACAACGAAGGGAAGGACAAGAAAACACGAATATGCCGAAGGCCTTTTCGCTAATGCTTCGCCAGGGAATTAGCGAAATACAAGTATTTATATGTATACAATAGATGTACACACACACACACACACACACACACACACACACACACACACACACACACACACACACACACACACACACACACACACACACACACACACACACACACACACACACACACACACATATATATATTATATATATATATATATATATATATATATACATATGTATGTATGTAGATATAGATATGTACATTCTCTCTCTCTCTCTCTCTCTCTCTCTCTCTCTCTCTCTCTCTCTCTCTCTCTCTCTCTCTCTCTCTCTCTCTCTCTCTCTCTTCTCTCTCTCCCTCTCTCTCTCTCTCTCTCTCTCTCTCTCTCTCTCTCTCTCTCTCTCTCTCTCTCTCTCTCTCTCTCTCTCTCTCTCTCTATATATATATATATATATATATATATATATATATATGTGTGTGTGTGTGTGTGTGTGTGTGTGTGTGTGTGTGTGTGTGTGTGTGTGTGTGTACGTCTGGATCTCAATAATCCGTACACAAGAGCGCTGGTAAGCTCATATCACGCGTGCATATGTATGCATGCATGTATCTACACACACACACACACACACACACACTTATGTATATTACGTATCTTTCTGTCTCTTGAATAATAAACTGAATCTGATGGATGATAATTTAAGCCAAAGAAGACTGATGAGATTACACAGAGCGCCACAAGGTCGAAACACCCTGGGATAGAAAGAAATTCGTTTACCTTGGCAGCAAATAGAACTGGATCTTTCTTGGAGTAAGTTGTGTTTTTTTACCTTGTTATATTATTGTTTGTCAGGGGAACATTAATGGTTGAGTATATCGAAGTTTAGATGATTAAGAATTATTGGAGAAGATTAGAAATCTTGAATATTTTGCTTGGGGTTATCGGAACCGCTAGCAACACAAGCAGAGGTAGCACTAAGCGCTAGATAGGGATTTAAAAGCATTTTGGATGGAGAATGATAATCTAACTGAAAATTTATCATAAACGCGAAACATGGAGAGAGCCGATAAACGTATTCAATATAAAATAAAGCATGTAAATAAACTATTCGACGCTGAAGCGCAAACTTGCTAGTTTAAAATTATTGGCTACACAATCATGGCGGAGGGAGGCCGTGTCTGTCCAACACTCCTCGTTTAAGACTTATTTTACAGCTAACACACATCAAAAACTTTCGCAAGGCTTTGGAGGTGAGGCATGATATATATGATTAAGAGAAACAGGTTAAGAAATGATGTCGAAAAGATAAGGAAATTCAATTCGAGAAGGTCCGGCATAAACGTGTTTTTAGTCACGTTCTGATAACAGTAATTTATATGTTATTTTTTTTTTGCTTAAGTTAAAGATTAAGTTGATATAAGTGCTTGGCATTCCCATTCACGATAAGGTGTTATCAATCTCGTTGAGGGTAGTGATAAAGTTGGTTCCCTTGAAACGTGACCCAGAAATCACAAGCACTTGTAATTTTCTCGTTTGCAAGCAACAAAACTTTGTTCTTCGTGTAACATAGAGAGATGTAGAAGATCGTCGTGTGTATTTTGCTGCGTGTTGAAGATGCAAGGTTGTATTGCATAGCTGTGATGCAAGGCTGTATTGCATAGCTGTGACTATTTTTATCGTTTGTGGCTAAGATCGAAGCTTATAGCCAGGTAATGAGAGCTTTGAACACGTTTTATCTCTTGAAGAAGACCATTTAAACAATTGTTAATTATCTTGTACTTTGCTGTCATGACATCAGTTTTGCCAGATGGCACTGATCACATGCAGTGCCAGAAGAATTGGTTTATTTATAGCAATTTTAAATGGGCCAGAGAATGTAGATGCTGGAATGTGTAGTACCTTGAAAATATAAATTAAAATGTATGTCCAATTTGTAGTTGCATTAGAATAGTTGATGTAAGAGTTGCACTTGCAGTTCTGCATCTGCAAGCACATTTCATAAGAATAGCTATTAGAAGTTGAGTAGGACTTTACATATGGTAGAGACTATCAGCCGGTTTGTTAAAATTGTGCCAGGCCTGACCCAATGAATTTTCATACATACAGATGCAGAAATAAAGACATATCTGTCTATATATCTGATAGATATACATTTAACCATCTATTACCTGGGTTGATATGTATGTCTGGATTTATAAATATGCATTTATTTCTTTATTTATGCATGTCAAGTATACGAATATTATTTGGGTCGGGCCTTGCACAATTCTAACAAACCGGCCGTATATGTAGGTATGAGATCTTTTACAGATTATTAATGACAGTAATAAGGAATTTTAAGAAGTCTGGCAAAAGGTCAGCAAGTTTCCACCTTGTCAATTATGTGATTGAGGTCTGTTGGCTTTTCCAGGAACTCTGAGGGCATGTGGGCTGTGGGGATAATGGGATTAACTGAGCCAAATGCAGTCCTAGTTTTAAGAAATACCCAGTTAACTAATGAAAACAATAAGCAGAAAATGAAGGTAAGCCTGCAGTAGCTCATGGAAGAAAAAGCAGAAGAAACTCAGTGGCATCACCCTCGGTAACATTAACCAATCACTGTACTCAAGAAGCATTGTTGAGCATTTGAAGTAGTCACTCCTGCTGCTTTTGGAACTCCTCGTCTTGGTCGCTCAGACAACTTGTCAGGATCAGCAGGACAACAAGGCTGGGAATAAGTTATTTACGACATGTGTAGATAGAGGGAAATGGATACTGCCATCTTATAGAAAAATAGAAGGGGATAAAATATAGTTTAAGATGCGCAGGCCTTATAGTCACCGCTAAATGATGAAAAAATAACACGCAGCCGCCTTTCAAATTCAAAGTCAATGAGTTTTGTTTATCTTGTGAAGAAAAACACAACACTGACCCATGAACGCATTTTTGCATTCGCGAACTAGTCCATGTATCATTACGCACTTGGCAAAATGATATTTAGCTAATTATCTGTGTCTGCTGGTACACATTTATGCCTTTAAAGTCTTTTAGTAATGTTATTATACTTTATTTGCATATTTTAATATTTATACCCTCATATAGAATCCTACGCATCGAGTGTTTCACACTTCTTTGTGCCAGCCACAGGTTAACAGCTCATCGACCCACTCATTTCGAGATTGAAAGCCGGTGAGAAATATTGCGTTTCCAGTATTGTGTTGATTCTGGGGTCTTTTTAAGACTTTTACAGTGGCATCGAAGAATAATTTGATTTTAGTAACCATCCCAGTCTTATATCTGAGCCCATCCAAATGTCGAAAAAGGTGATTAAAATCAAAGCAATCTCAACAGTACAAAGAAACAACGAAAGTTTCACGTTTCCAGATATAAAGGTATTTGGTTTATTATTTTACAGTGTGAATGCAGCTCGTGTCTTGCCTAATTACGGGAATTTATATTGATATATTATGTTGGGTTATTGATCAATATGTATTTTAGGGGGGATTGGAACGTGTGAATTCCCGTAGAGTTTTGCTGCATTGTGGGTTGGGTTCCTGTAGAGTTTTTGATTTCTGACGCGTCAGCCGTAGAATTTCAAAGATGGTGGTTACATCCTTAGAGTTTCATTGGCCAATTTTAAGCATTTTTTGTGTCAGTTTTATGCATTTTTGATCAGTATTCTTCTTATTTAAGCTTGTTTTACCTCATAATTTCCCTGATATACTTCATGCCCTCCCCTACTAACAGGACTATCAAATCAATATCGTCGATGGAGAAATGGTACTCGATCTCATGAACGATTTATTTGCAGAAAAAACAATGCCGAAAATCTATGAAATCATAGGATTTCATGCAGAAAAACATCAATTTTTTTCGTCTTAGTCTCTGGGAGGATGCGTCACTCTCTCTAACAATTACCCAAGGCTGCGCTCGGAACCTCCAAGGCCTTCGTTGCCCAGAATGCAAACAACTTCAGAAAAAAAGAAAAAAAAAAAAAAACACTATTTTATCATTCCGGTGTTTTTATTTTGTATGCTGCATAGGTTTTGTAACTCCTTTTGTGCATGTTTAACTTACCTGTTACAGAGAAACAAGAAAATATCCTTTAATAATATCAATAAAGGTAATAAAATTATCTATCCATATCTTATGGTTGCCTGGAACTGTCATTTCATACAAATGCTAATGTGACATCATCTAGTCCTGCATGCCCAGCTGTGAAGAAGGGTGAGATGAACAAGAAGGACAACTTGTTCGGGATGAAAAAGTAGAGGTTCCGAACAGTCAAAACATCTTGTCCAACTTGTCTGGACGAGCAAGATGAGGAGTTCCGAACGCAGCATTAGTACCAGTGATTATAAGTTCTACGGTAACTGTTAAGTGATTATAAGTACAAAGCTTTGTTTGGCACTATGTTAGGTTGTGCGAAAATGTTTTCTATAAGGCCCTTCGTTGTATACAAATGTGGTCAAAGGTTCAGTAATTACCAAGGAATGACTCACAGCAGTTATTGTTATTACATATTACTGTTATACAGAAAAAGATGGCTTAAAGGTCATAGTTTGTTGACTGACCTTATTAACTTGTCCTGTAGGTAATTTTGGTGTTTGTCTACAAGCTGAAAGCTGGCAAAGGTTTTTGCATGTTGATGTCTCCATTTCTTTATTACAGAGACTCATTATGGCACCACAAAGCACTAAATTTTCGTGTCCACTTCCTAAACACTCAGTGGCATGATATGTAAAACCCAAAGTTATTTCAGTGAACAGTTTCTTGCAGTTTCATTATGCTTTTCAGTAATTGTAGCTTTCAAATTATTTTATTTTGTTAGATATATTTGCTGTCAAAATCCACTTGAAATATTGATCTTTGAGGAAAGGCTTGATAGTGGTGCAGGTCAGGCAATTCTTGTGTCCTCTGTGCTTTGTCCACAGACAAAGGCCAACACATCTCTACCAAAAAAAAATCTTGCAAGATGGAGCCTTATAAAAGTGGACAACGTTTATGACACTGGAGTACGTACACTGTGGGTATGATGATGTTGCTGTCTATCAGATAGTCAAATCAACTGAGACCTGACTCTGTCTGTCCTCACTTGCCTTGCATTGTCTGTTTTTTTCCTCAGATGTACAAATTTGTATGCTGATAGAAACTTTTAAATCAAGTAAATATTGACATAAAAGTATATATTGACATAAATGTAATATGTAACCTATTTATTATTTATATAAAATATTTAATTTAACAGCTATACTGGCAGTGAATACTTTTGAAGCAATATGACCAGCATGTGTGTGGAAGTAGTAGGCTTGGGCATGTGGTGTAACTGCAATGCACACACAGTTTTCCTCATGTAATTGTATCTTTACCAAAGTATATGTATTGTAGGTATGTTGGCCTTTGGCAGAGCCAACAGGCATGGAGTTGATTAGGGTGAAACCAACAATGTCTTATGTTTCATGCTTCAAAGACATAATGCATACAAGTATTTGGAGGAATAGGATGACATTGATAGTCATTTTCAAGGGACTATACTAAACAAAAGAGGGGTAATGGGGGTAAAATTGACAAAAAAGTGATTCTTCAAATTTCATCGTAGGTATTTTAGTATTGTGCATCCTGTTTGAAACTTTTGGGGGTTCCTTAATGGGGGGCAGTGTCTCCCCAAAAAGTTTTTGGATCTCTATTTTTGCTCATATATTTCTGTATATAACAATGTAACTTGTAAAGCCATGTATATTTTTGGGGAGATGATTATTAAAAATAGGACCAGATTAGGAGCAAAAAACATGTATATGGTTTTAAATCAGCACAAAGTTAGGGCAATATTGTTCTAGTAGGTTATTTTAGTAAACAGCAATGTACAAGCAATATATGTGAATATTGATTTTATGAACTAAAGAATTAGGTTTAGATAGCATCCCTTCCTTTTGAAGCTGAGCATTTACTTTGTCCCAATCTAATTTATACTGTGGTGCCAACTAGTTATTATTCAATAAGTTAAACCCCCAATCCCATGCCCATTGTTGTTGTGGTAACTTAACAGATATAGACTGAGGCCCAATGTTGGGGATCTCCCCTACCTTGGGCCTCAGCCCTCAGCTCAACCAATTTTCATCTACCCCTTTCCTTTCCCTTCTCTACTCCAAACCCTTCTTTTGTCCAAGATGTGATAGATGTGTTGAAAGGATAAAAGAGTGGCTTAGGGACAGTTCTGGAAGGCCTCAGGTAGCCATGGGTACAGTATTCCCCTGTTTAGTTATGTAGCCTGCTGTCAACTCAGTCCAGTCTGAAGCACCTACACAGGTCATTACCCAACCTTCAGAAAGCATTCCTTCCTCTCTCTTAACATCCTCTAATCTATTGTTCTATCCTCCACCGTCTTCATTTTCAAACCTTCCTCCCTTATTACTAGTGTGCATCCTTATTGACACATCCCTGTATTACTATCTCACTCAGCATCACTCCCTCCTCCTCCTTTTGTCATCCTTCAACTACTTCCACCTCTATAAATCTTATGAATACTGTTTTTTAGTTCAGCTAAATGTTATT